ATTGCTTTTTTATGTGTAGTATATATCTTGGAGATTTTTTTGTGTTTGCACAGGTAGACATGACTCACTCTTTTTAATAGTTGTCAGAATATTTCTTAATATGAAATCATGACAGAATTTTCAGTATGGGGCCACCATCCTTTTCCCATTTCCCATTGGATGACACTTGTATTCCATTTGCAGGTTTCTTTTCTGTCTTCCTTCCGCCCTTTTTTTAATTTCAGGTAACACTACCACGAATTTTTTTTTTTTTTTTTTTGATGGCTGGCTGGTAGCAAGATTGAACTGTAGACCTGGTGTTATCAGCACCATCCTCTAACCAACTGAGCTAACTGGCCGGGAATACTCTTGTATGTCCTTTCCCTAATTGTGTGAGTCTTTCTGTAGGATCATTTCCCTGCAGTGGACTTGTGGGCCAAAGGGTAGACACACTATGATTTTTTATGGGCGTTGCCAAATTGCCTTTTGAGGAGGTTGCCCTAAATGTCCACTCCCACAAGGAGGCCTGTAAAAATCTTGCTGAAGTTCACATTTGGATAAAGTTCAATAAAGGAGCAATTGAGCTATAGCAAGGAAAGCAAGCCGAAGTTTCCAATAATGAGGAATTTTCTCTAGGGATGTGTGATATGAAGCTTGATTTGCTATTAGGAGCAGAAAATTTAAAAAGACATTCTTTTTGATAACCCAAGAAGCATTACTTTTTGGACTAGGTAGTGCAGGTCTGTGGTGCACCATTCAAAAGGTAAGGGACAGTGAAGGGGAAGTTTCTTCTCTTCGTCAGCCATCTAGTGACCACACTTTTAAAAATTATTATCCCTTTTTTGTGAAATAAATAATGCATACAAAAGTGCATATAAATACAAAAAGTTTACATATAGGTTCAGTTTAAAGACAAATACAGGGCCTGGCTGGTAAGCTCACTTGGGAGAGTGGTGCTGGTAACCTGAAGGTCATGGGCTCAGATCCTCAAACCGGCCAGCCACCAAAGAAAAAAAAAAAGATAAATACAAAATACTCATGTACTCACCAGCCAGCTCACTTGCATATGCTAAGCTAGCTTAGAAGCACTTGAAGCTGTATCCTATTGAGAACTTAGTATTTGTTGGGTCCTTTGCATGTGATATCTCGGTTAATTCCCAGAGGTGGGTATGAATATTATCCCCATTTTTCAGGTGAGGAAACTGAGCCTTGGAGGAGCTAAGCAATCTGCCCATGGGCTCAGTTAATGAGTGGCAGATCTGCAAGGCCTGGCTCTTCAGTGGCCTTGGACTCTGGCACTCATGTAGGTGTCAGTAGGTTAATGATGTCTGGCTCATGGATAGCACTTTTCAGTTCCCACATCCCACTTCAGATGTGGGCAAGATTAGCCTTTGCTTGAGAGCACAAAGATGGGTGAGGCTTCAATGTTGGGGGGACTTGGCATCAGTCTTCTTGCCCAGGGCTCCTCTCTGGCCACCTTTGTCCACCTGAGTGCATGGGGGATAGGGGTTCTCCAGAAGGGAGGGGATTGTTCTCAAGGGGGCTGCCTGCACCAATGACTGAGGGGTGAATGGTGATGTTTACATGGGGCAGGAGCTCTGGAGTGGGCAGTAGTGCATTTTTGCAAAAGCCAGAAGCACCATAACTAGAGCTTTCAGGGCCTGCCGTCTCCTTTCCATCTCAGTGTCTGCAAGTCACACATCCTCCAAGCCAGGCTCAGATCCTAACCCCTCCCTGGAAAACCCCCCATGCAGGTGTCACCCCCATTCTCTGTTGTCCGTATGATACAGGGCTCTGGAATCTCCTGGCCTTTGATAGCCAGCCTTGCTGGGTGCTCTGCCTGTAGAAGATGCTCAGGAGAGGTGTTGAGTGAAGAAAGGAAGGAGAGACCACCCTGTGCACACTGGGCTTAGTCGTATCATGACTGGCCTCTCCCAGAGCGCAGATCACCTTCCAGATCACCTTTGAGAGTGGGGACCTCCACGAGTAGGATTGGAAACATCCATATCTGGGAATCCAGAAGTTTGTTGCATTCAGGTTAAAGCCTGATGTAAGTGTGCTGGTTTCCCCATATTTTTAGTTTGGATGTTTTAAAACAGCAGCGGGCTATTTCCAACAACTATTGAAAGCAGCAACCGGTCTCTGACTGAATTTCTGTTTTGATGAGTGATAGGTCTGAAATCAGGTTTGCTGCTTGATCTACCAGGGATGGTGAGAGCCAGCTACCAGCAGCCACAGTGGCCCAGAAGGCCACTAAAATGCAAAGTTTGCATTACAGTGCGAACAGGATAGCTAATGCGAGCATATTGCTTAGGAGAAAAGTCTATGGCCCTTAACTTTGTGGAAAACTAGTCCCCAAGATGTGACCTCTCTTTCCCAGGGCCAGTAGCGTTCATCCATTTATTCAATATTTTGATTTTTAAAATATTGCCTTAAAATATTCTTTATTTTGATTGGTGAGTTTTTTGTTGTGCCGTTAAATTTGGTGCATAGAGCCACGGTTAGTGTGAAAGTTGTTATTATTAATGCCGGCAGGCAGATTGAGATGGCAAGTGGTGCAGAAAGGGATGCCAGCCCTTCTCTCCACTGCTTCACGCTTACATTTCAGAATGTGCCTTTCTTCAGAACGGTTTTCTTGCTGGTTTTCTCATGTGGCTGCACCTTAGAGTCTCCTGGGGAAGCTTTTTAAAATTATCTTGCTCAGTCCACACCATAGCGATTAAATATATTTTTTAATCTTTTATATATATAAACACACATATATGTATATGTAATTTGTAGAAAATGTCAAAAATTCACAAGAAAGTGGACATTTGGGACCGGGGAAGGAGGGATGCGTGGGTTGAAAGAGGGATTTTTATTTTTTGTTTTTTGATTTAATTTATTTTTTTACCTTAAACGTGGGAGTATATTACTTTTAGATTTAAACAACTAGTTACTTTTTTTAAAATGTAGAAGTAAAAATGCAGCTTCCTAGCCCCAGCCCTAGTGCCTGGGATCTCTGAGGCAGGGCATCGGGGATTCCTCCAGCTGACAGCCAGCCCTCTTCTCCGTGGGCCCTAAGGTGGCCTGACAGCCAGAGCGGTGGCCCCTTCCTGCTCTACCTGCCCTCAGTACCATACTCCCCCTCTCCTGGGCTTCCTTGCTTATGTGACATGTGCCTCCTTTACAGCCATAATCCTCTTCTGTAGAGCATAAGTCAGATGTTACTATGATTATTTCTTAATTTTGTTTATTTCCCTGCAACTACTTAGTGCAGTACTCTGCCCACAACAACTGCCCAGTAAAATTTGCTGATATGCTGTACTGGTAGAATGTCCTTAGAATTTGTCATGTGAGATTTAGGCTTAGCATGTTTGCTTCTGTCGCAGACTGACCCCAACCTTCTTTTTGATTGTGAGGCTCTTGTCAAGCTGCCGGCTAGAGGGGCGGCTTTTGCTGGTGGATGGCACTGAGCTGGGTGTTGTCTGAGGTCTCTATCCTGTCACTAACTTACCTGACTCAGGCAAGGCCAGAACCAGGATCTTGCGACCTTAACCCCCCAAATCCAGTTCAAACATTAAAATATCCAGGGGCATTTGTTAAAAATACAGGTGCCTGATCCTTACCCCAGGTGCACTGAATTGGTCTTAAGAGAAATAAATTAAGGTTTTGGTAAGCTATCCAGGCGATTCTTAGGTTCCGGCAAGCATGCAAAGTTCTATCCAAGCTCATCTAACTAGCCTACTACACACACACACACACACGCACACGCACACGCACACACACACACACACACACACACACACTCACTCTGTCTCATTCTCTCTCTCTCTTTCCCTCTCTCCCTCTCTCTCTCTCTCTCTCTCTCTATTATCTGACATCCTGACTGCACACAGCCGGGTGAGTACCCAGTGACGGAAGTAGGAGTGACTGTGCTTCGATAAGGCTGAGCTCCCTGGTACAGTTTACTGTACATGTGAACTCTCATCGACCAGACCCACTAATACCAGCCCAATTCTTTTTTTTTTTTTTTTTTTTTCCTTTTTGTCTTTTTTCGTGACCGGCAACGGATCGCAACCCTCAGTGTCGCGCCCGCACCGGACCGGGACCGGCAACGGGATCGCAACCCTCGGTGTTGCTCCCGCACCTCGCTCAGCCAGTGAGTGGGAACCGGTCTGTATGTGGGATCCAAACCCTCGGCGGGAGCGCCGCCGCTCTTCCCAAGCGGCGCACTGTAGCAGTGCGCCACCGGGCCAGCCCTATACCAGCCCAATTCTAAAGCCAGCATGAGAGCTACTTTGGAAATGAATTTCATAACTTAGCAGATGCCATCAGTGTCCTTCCCATATCCTGCCATGCCTACCATTTCTGGGTACACCTGTCCAAGTTGCACCTGCCCCCCTGCACCTCTGCTGAATGCTTTGTCACTGGAGCCCACTCTGTCTAACACAAGGCAAGTCAGTGCCACCCAGGAGCAGCCATCAACCAGGGACTGACCTCAGCTTCTGGGGGGCAACATGACTCAGAGGTGTGTGTTCTACACTGTCTCCCCGTGATGCCCAGTGGGGTTGGACCTCAGTTGCCCACTGGCTTGGTGCTTCTCCCTGTACAGGCTCATTCCCTTCCCTGTCTCACTTCTGCCATCCCCTACCGGTGCTTTCTGGGGTTGTCTCTCAAATAAACTGTGTACTTATACTGGAGTCTTTGTCTTAGAGTTTGCTTCTGGGAAAACCCAAACTAAAATAAAAACCAAGTTGACTTTGCTCCCTATGACATGAAAACATGAAGGCATGTGAGTGGAAGAATAAAATCTTCCTCCCAAAGGCAGGCGGTGTTTTTGTGCTGTGTGGGCACCCATTGTGTGAGGTTTACACGTGTGGATGTTATGATCCTTTGCAGACAATTTTGTCTCCTACTTTAATCCTTTTCCTCATGTTGCCACGAATCCTTGGGCACGATGATTTTTAATGGCCTCATAGTTGGGAGGCTTTGGCTTGGCCATGACCAACTGATGACGTGTCTTCCCCTTGTCCTTGCAGGCATTCGTCCCTACAAATGTGATGTCTGCAACAAAGCCTTCACCCAGCGCTGCTCCTTAGAGTCCCACCTGAAGAAAATCCATGGGGTGCAGCAGCACTACGCCTATAAGCAGCGCCGCGACAAGCTCTATGTCTGCGAGGACTGCGGCTACACGGGCCCCACCCAGGAGGACCTGTACCTGCACGTGACCAGTGCCCACCCAGGCAGCGTGTTTCTCAAAAAGACATCCAAAAAACTGGCAGCTCTGTTGCAGAGCAAGCTGATGTCCGCACACCAGGAGAATGGCAACCTGAATGAGGAGGAGGGGAGGAAGTGAGGAGGAAGAGGAAGGGGAGGCGAGACCCCAGCACTGCCACGTTTACCCGGATTTTGGTTTTGAGGGTCCCCCCATCCTACTGGCTCTTTAATTACAAGTGTTCAGTTCATTTCTCTCTCCTTTTGGGACATCGGCAGTAGGACCTGTTCCACAGTTGTCAGTGATTATAGTGACGACAGACCCCGTATGATGTGTCCTATCGATTTACCAAAGTTTATTTTCCATACTCCTCATGGCCAAGATCACCGTGCAGGATTTTTTAATTTAATTTTATTTTTTTAGTATTTTCCCCCATGGAGGGAGAGGGATTTCTTAGAGCGATCATCATTTTATGGTGCCTTGAAATAAAAGTACTTTCATTTGAAATGCTGCTCAGCAAGGAAAATTAATTTTATTATTCTGAAAGTTTACAGAAATTATTTTAATAAATGAAATGTTTTTGTGAGACTCTTCTTTAAAAAACAAAACAGAACGTGGAGCTCTAGCTCCCTGTTGAGGGCTTGTTGTGTGGTATTTGACTGCAGGTTACGTGGGGGGCAGGGGGCTGATTATTTTGCATTAGTGGGGTGGGCTTGAAGAAGCAAATCCTGAGCGTTGGGTAGAAGAACAACTGGCTGATGAAAAAACAGCCTTGAGCAGCCGATGGGCAGAGCCCCTGGGGCTGAGGTGGCAGGGAACCCACTAGCTCTGGTCTCTTGTCCTGCTCTAGGGTTTCTGCTGAGCTCTTTGGCTTTCTGGAGCTGTACTTGCTGGCCAAAGACTCCTCTCCCTTCCTTGAATCCGGCTGTGGGTAAGAACCCAGTGAACCTTGGAGCGTGGGAAATGCTCCTGCACAAAGTGTGCTTGCAAGAGGGGCAGCAGTGCGGGACTTTCCCTCAGGGTGTGTGACCACTGAGTGCCATGACCTTGGGCCACCTCCATCTCCTCACCTTGGAGGCCTGTCCCCAGAGGCATGGGAGGTAAACAGGAAAGCCCGCCCTGAGACAGATAGGGCCAACAGGGGACGAGGCCACGGGTGAGGTGGTTCCCATGGTCTTTCTATGACTGGGGGTGGGGCAGCAGGAAGGTTCCAGATCCCTCAGGAGGAAGCACCGCGGTCAGGAGAGGCATCTATCTCAGGCCCAGCAGCTGCTGCCTGAATTGACAGCAAGTGCTGATGAACACCACCACATTGTCCTTCCGTGGCCTGTCCCCATCCCCTAGGCATTGCCTGGGCCACTCCTTCATCTGGGGAAATGTTTGGATGATGAGGCCATTCTCTTATTTCCATCCTCTCCCCTTCCTCTCTTCTTCTTCATCCTTCTCTCCTTACTTCCTTCCCACACTGTGGGTCAGACATTATGCCAAGGTCTGGACATTTTAAATGGCATAGCCTATACTTGCATTAACATTTCTCTTCCAAATCGGCTCTTTCTCTGCAGAAAGCAGGAAGCAAACCCTTTTGCTGAGCGTCTGCACCATGCCAGGCACCAAGCTAGGTACTTCTCACCGCACAGATGTTCTCGGGGACATCCTCAGGACATCCTCAGAGCATCCCTGGGGACAGCAGCCCTGTTGCCATGAGTATAGGAGGTGTCTGCAGACGCTGCCAGCTGGTGGTTGGAGGAAGAGGCCGGGAATCTCCCGTCTAGTCAAAACCCCTCTATTTTCCTCTCTCCCCACCCTCCCTTCAAAAGGGAAAGAAAAGGTCTCACGTTCAACCAGGACCATCCAGAGGAAGGTATGAGACTACGGCTAACTTTGGGGGATCCTCACCCATCCAGCCCCGCTGATGGGCAGGGCTCAAGGGCCATCAGGCCAGCCTGAAGGGCTGACATGGTGCTGTTCTGCCTCACCTGAAGCTCTGGGAGCTTGAGTCAAGGCTGTGGCAGCATGCGGTCTGTGGCCATGTTCGGGCATCTGTAGTGGCGGCGGTTGAACTTGGGACTTCAAGTGGTGCAGGCTGCAGCCTCCCAGGACAGAGCCAGTGCCTAACCCTGACTCCAGAGGGCGAATTGCTTACATCGTGTGATCTCTCCCAGCACTTGGCACTGAGGAGAGGGAGACTAGACGGTGGATGTGTTGCTTTCTCCTCAGTTACCTGGGCAATGCGGACAACAAAAATGAGCATTCCTGGAAAGGAATTTTTAAATGACTTTGGCTGAGACAGCTGGCCTGTGGTCTGTTTCACACAGGGAATTGTGAACCAGCTTTCTTTTTAGGGTCAGATGTTCATTAAATAGAACTCTTTGGGTTGCGAGTGATAGAAACCCAGTGCAAAATGACGTTAGCAGAAAAGGGAATGTATGAACTGAAAAGTCTAGGGTTGTTCCAGTTTTAGGGGTGGCCAGATCTAGCACTTAAATAATGTCATTGTCTCTTATCTTTCTCTACATCTTTTAGCTCTGTTGTCCCCGTGACAGTTTGTTTCTCAGGCAGGCTCAAGTGGAACCTGGATGGCCACCCATGGCTAAGGCACAGCTGCGGTAACAAAGATTCCCAACAAATTCTGTGGCTCAAGAAGAGGAAGGTTGTTTCTTTCTCATGCAGTGGTTCTGAGTTGGGAGACTCTCCTCCGTGCCATCGCTCGAGGACTGGATTTCTCTCCCTGTGGTTCCGCCAGGCCCTCTGACAGTGTTACTATGTGCATGGTTGAAGCTGGGTTTCTGTGGGTCTCAGCTGATAGGAGAGTTGTCTTCGTTTTGGTTCCTCCAGAAGCTAATTCTGAGGCAAAGATTCAAGTTCAAGTAGACTGTTTTGGAGGCAATCCCAGGAAACATCTGCAGGGGAGTGGGGAGGTGTGGCAGGAAGGGAAGACAGCCAATAAAGGGAACAGAGTCAAGGAAGTTACTGCTGGGGACCTCCTGGAGGCATATACAACGAGCCTCAGCGTCCTCCCACTGGAGGGGCATGGGAAACTGTCTACTAACGCCCCATCCATCATTGGTTGAGGGTTGCAGGCCTTGGGGGCATTCACTTCTGGACCTTTCCAACTTGCCCTAGGCACCGGCCAGGCATGCTTCCTTGCACCAGGAACACCCCCAGACAGAGTTTTAGGAGTCAGCCATAAGCTGCCTTCAGCAGATAGACCCAAAGCTGATGACACCCAGGTGGGTGACAACTGTACAGGCGTGGAAGGGTCACACCCACTATTGGAAGCTGTTGGCCTGGACTTGGATGATGAGGCCTTCCACACACAGGCCTTCCACTCACATTCCATGGGGAGGATTTAGCCACATTAACCTGGGGGCGGGAAAAATGCAGCCTTCCCAGCCACACATTTGTGTGTGACAGAATGGGGGTGATTATGGTGGACAACTTGCAGTCTGTAACAGCAGGCAAAACCAGGTGACGTCCACTCTCACCTTTTTGACCCCAACTCCTCCTACCCATTTACCTGTCCTGCTCTCGGTGAGTGACCAGGAGATCCAGGATCATGGCTTAGGATGCTGTTGTCAGCCCTGGAACCTCAGGTCTGTAGGTGGTAGGGATGGAGAGCCAGGTGCTGTCTGCCTTGGGTGGGGGTTTGGTCGTCAGAGTGTGGAAACGCCACTGTGTGTGCAGGTCATAAGGGCCTACTGGTCATCGGTCTAATATCAATCAACATGGCTTACTATATTGATATCTTAGGTTGGGTCCTAGAAGCAGAGCCTGAGACAGCGATTCTGGGGTAACTGATTTATTGAGGGAGGCTGTCAGGGGGGGCCAATTAGGAGATGAGAGCAGCAACGTACCACAGAGGAAGAAATTAGGCAAAGATGTGGGGTCGACTAAAGGCTAACCCCAGCCTCATCCCAGAGGGAGCTCTGGGGTGTGATTGGCACCATACAAGTTGCCCACCCTGAAGCAAGGGAGCCGGTTGTCAGCTGTGGGCTGCCACTGGCAGGGTGGGTTGGGTAGGGCATAACCAGCAGGCGTTTTCAGCAACAGCAACTGAGAGCTGTTTAGTAGCCAATGTTCTAAGCAGCTGGGGGCTGTTTCACTTGGAGCTATCCAAGGTGGGGGAGAGAGAAATCACAGGGATGGGTTCTGAGGGGTGAAAAGATGGAGGTCCATGGGCTCTGGCTGCTTCTCCCTGGAAACTTTGCATTTTTTATAAAGGACCTGTTTTTGGAGCTAAAGGAGTGAATCACTTATAGCAAATTATGTGGTGTTTCCGAAAGAAGTTTTAAAAATATATAAATATATGCAGAGAAAAGTGCCTCCAGACTGGCCCCTCACCTGCCCAGCCTCTCTTGTACCATCCAAGTTAACCACTGTCATTAGCTTCTCGTGTAACCTTCCTGAGTTGCTGTACCCATATATGAGCAAATGTGAATATGTGTATTCCTGTTGTCCACTGTTTCTTTTTATAAAAATTTTTAATTAGCAGATAGCGTACTATGTATACTGTTTGGCACCTTGCATTTTTCTTTTAATGATACCTCTAGTAGTTCTTTCCAGGATAGTACAAAAAAGCGTTTGCATTCTTCTTTGTAGCTATGTAGCATTGTGTTGTATGGAGGTAGCATAATTTAGGTTATCAGTCTTCTGTTGATGGACATTTATGCTGTTTCCAATGTTTTGCTACTATGGAGAATGCTACAATGAGTAACATTATACATATTGTCATCTCACATATGTGCAAACATGTCTGTGGGATAAATTCCCAGAAATGCAATTGTGAACTGCCTGAATGCCCATTTTTTCACGGGGTGCTCGGTCTTTTTTTTTTTTTGCCTAATTGCTAAAAGTTTTTTTTTTTTTTTTTTAAATATATCAGGAATGAGCCCTTTGTGATGTAAGTTGCTGGTTTTCGTAACATTGATAGACACGGCCCAGTGACCCTGCACGGAGGTGTAACAATTGGCAGTGCGTGCGGTGCCCACGCCCTCACCACCGTGCCAGCATTGTATTGCTATGGTTTTGAGTTGAGCCCTTTGTGATGTAAGTTGCTGGTTTTCGTAACATTGATAGACACGGCCCAGTGACCCTGCACGGAGGTGTAACAATTGGCAGTGCGTGCGGTGCCCACGCCCTCACCACCGTGCCAGCATTGTATTGCTATGGTTTTGGATTTTGGCCAGTCTGATAAGGGAGAAATAGTTTTACAGTGCAATTTTATTTTACATTTCTCTTATTATGTCTGACAGAAAGATTGAATGTCTTTTCATATGATTAAGGCCTTTTGTAGTTCCTTTTTCTGTGAACTGCCTGAATGTCCATTTTTCCACTGGGTTTTTGCCTAACTTTTAGGAGTTTTTTGTTTGTTCATTTGTTTTGATATATCAGGAAGTTTAGCCCTTTGCGACTTATGGTGCTGGTGTTCCTCCCAGATTGTCATTTATCTTTAGCTTTTGCTCATGCTGAGCATTTTTGGGCCAAGCAGAATTTTTGATTTTTTATGTAGTTTGAATTGACCTGTCTTTTTCTTTTTTGGCTGCTGGAGATTGAGTCGTAGTTAGAAAGGCCTTCTCTCTCCAAGGT